AATTTTTTAAAATATTCTCTGAAAACGGGTATTGATTTTCTCACCATATTTCGATTTCAATATTGAAATCACAACTTTTTTTTTTTTTTTTTTTTTGTTTAAAAATCTGAAAAAAATAGGAACAAAAAAACAGGTTGGTGTCAACCCTCGTATATAAAATCTGTTTCTGAAAGTCTAAACCTAAAGCTTCTCTTCCTTGTCTTCACACCTTCATACACCAATCGCACTTCTAGACGAGAGAGATAGAAAGAGAGATGGCAAGGGACAGCTGTCTAGCTAGAATAACCGCCGGAGTCGCCGTGGGTGGTGCTGTTGGAGGCGCTGTCGGTAAAATCTACTTTCCAACCGCTATTCCTCATAAACCCTAATCATCTCCAATGTTATCTTGTCTTAATCCGTCAAACTCCATCGAATTAATCTTCTCTAGCTTACTGAATGTGAACTTTTTAATCTAATTCACCGTTTCGAGGCCTGATACATTCAATTGTGTTAAGAACTTTTCAATTAATTTGATACTTCGTTTTTAGCATATGTTCCTAGGGATTGTATCTGTGTTTCATGATTGAGGACTGGAAAAATGTTCATTCCTTAGGTTTATTTCATAGGTCTCCACGAGTTCAAGTAGAACCCTAACTATTTGGCCTATAAAATGCAGTAATCTTTGTATTTAGTTAGTTGGATTTGCTGATAGGTTCTTGTAATGTTATGTAGTCCATAAATATATACTTAGGAAGCCTTCTACCCCTTACCAAATATCCATATGAGGTGCTTAGGCCCTGTTTCCTTTTCACCATTAAGTGATTAAGTGGTGTCTCAATGAAGTGTTGTTGGATAAATATATTTAAGAAAATGATTGCCACTTTAGGAATAGGAAGAAAAAAATTGATGAGGGCAAATTTGTAAAAGTTTAGGACATAGTGGAGATGGCCTCCTTAACAAGTTCTATTAGTAGAATGTATGATATAAATCTGTTAAGAAATCTGTTTTACATTGCAAAAACTTACATCTAGATTCTAGAAACGTCTTTTGTTTTATGTTTTGGAGACATGTTAGTATTATATTATTATTAAGCAATTGTTTATATATCTATTCTGATTGTATATATATATGTATTAATTTCCAGGTGCTGTTTATGGAACTTATGAAGCTGTTAGGTACAAGGTACAATCTTATCATTCTTCTTAAACCTTTTAGGCCAGGACATAACAGGTTTCCTTCCTCTGTCAAAAGACATAAATACCCTCATCCTCATGAGTACATTGGCATTTTATGAACAATATTTACAGGTTCCAGGACTTATGAAGATCAGATATATTGGACAAACAACACTCGGGAGTGCTGCCATTTTTGGTCTTTTTCTTGGGGCTGGGAGCTTGATACATTGTGGGAAGTCGTATTGAGAAGAGTTCTTTTGATATTTGAAAATAATAAATATTAGTTGCGACTTTGATAAAATCTTATTGCTCATATGCACATTTCTCTTATTAACTTTGAAATTAAAAGTCAAGCACTTTTATTGCCTTTTTTTTTTAATCTGTATAACCAAGTTTGGATGAGTTTGAAGAGTATTGCATTGACATGGGGTTTAGTTTGTTTTTTATATCAACAAAGTTTTCTTGTATTGTGCATGATGTGCATTGGAATTGATGCCAATAGGACAAAATTGCAATTTTTTTTTCTCTCAGAAAAGGTAGAACAAGATGAGACAGAAATGTAACTTGGAATTTAATTTGATTTTGTTCATGTATTTGGTTGCAAGTGAATATAGAATTGAATTTTGTTGGGGGTAAGATTTAAAAATTTGACCCATGGATTCAACATTTCAAGGTTATTCATTATGATGATGAAAGTATTTTTTTTCTATACAAATAAGAAATAATCTCTTTCTCTTTTAACATTAAACATCAGTGAAAATTGGAAGTTAATTTGATTCTGATTATTCCAAAAATTGCAATTGTTGAATGAGACGTAACTGAATTAGAAAAGTTTTTTTAGAACATTCATACCAATGTAATGTTATTTATCTTTCAGTCTGTCACATTAGTTAAAAATAATTATTTTTACATTTCTGGTGCCATATCAACAACTTCTTTTTAATTTTTAACAAGTTATTTTATAATCAATTAACATAAATATATTTATTTCTAATTTAAATAAAAAATAATTATTAAAATATATATTAATAAATAATACTTCTTCCGTCTCAAAATTATAGTCCATCTTTCCTTTTTGATTTGTCCCAAAATAATAGTCCACTTCTAAAAATAAATAATATTTTTACCAAAATATCCCCTTATTATTACTTAACCAACTAAGCATTTAATGGAACATTAAATGCAAAGTAAGGACAAAACTGTCATTTTATTATATAAAATTAGTGGTAATTAATGCTTTTCTTAATATGTGTGTTTTTTGTCTGTGGACAATAATATTGGGACGGAGGGAGTAATAAATTTTGATATTAGCTTTATATATTTAGCATTTAAATAGTTAATCACAAAACAAACATTACATTAATCCGTCATTTACTCATTTTAAATCTCTTACACCAAATTCATTTGGACTTATTTATTTGTAGGACTTATTTATTTGTAAGTGTAACGTATAATAATAACTTCAAAGATACATGTCGCACTCAAATACAGGAAGAGGACTTTTACGAAATTCCAAGCATATATATTTGAGTTAACATCATTATTTATATAATCAAACTAATTAATATATGATAATGAATCATGTTCATTTTCGACGTAATATGGATGATGATACAAGTATGTCAACGTTTTAAAGTATATTAACCTTTTAATTTATTGTAGTTGTATTAATTTATTTTATAAAGTAAATAGTAGTTAAAATAATTATTAAAATTAAAAGTTAGTTGATTTTTAATATATAAATATATTTATATATAACAATAAAGTAATCAAACAAGTATGTGTAATGAATATTTAACAAAAAAGATGAAGACTAAAAGCGAAAGCTTTTCAACAATTGAAAGGAGTATCATGATGTTGCTTTCAATAAAGGTCCACATGGAATATGTTTTTTCATAACTTCGTTTTAACATATCCTTTACATGTTTTGTACAACATCATTTTTACACATTTTTGTATCGCATTTGCATGTTATTAACTCTATAAAATATAGTTTTTAGATTTCATTTACACTTGATTGTTTTCAAAACAACCCCTCTATAAAATGTGCAAAGCGAAGTGAAAAACATGTGGAAAAATGAAATTGTAAAGAATCTTGTGAAAAAGTAACAAATTTAAAAACATGTGAAAAAGGAATCAAAAAAATAAGCTCTAAAAAAGATGATGTAAAAAACCAGGGCCGGTCCAAAGATATAGTGAGCTCAGGACCAAAAGAAAAAATAGGCCTCTAAAGTTGAAAATAGACAAACAATTATAAAATTCACTATTAATACTAAAAAACAAAAATATGGCCACAACATTACAAAAACAACTAATTTAAAAAAAAATATTTTTCCTAGTATTTTTAGATAAGTTTATTTTTTTTTTCTTTATATATATATACCATATATTCTAAGAATTCTGGGCCCATTAGAGACATGAGCCATGGGCGACCGTCCGGGTTGCCTATCGTCTGGACCGGGCCTGTAAAAAACCTATAAAATATGAGAATACAAGTTTGTTAAAAAAAACACATAAAAACAAAGTTGTAGAAATGATAACTTGTAATGATTCAACGTAAACACTAAACAAAAAAAAAAAAAAAAAAAAAAAAGGTTAAAGGACCTTAGAGATTTAAAAAAAAAATACTTAGAGAAACCTGTTATAAAGATATAACATAAACAAGTGAAACAAGTTAAAAAAGACTTTAGAAAGTCAACAAAATGTAAGTAAATAAATAAGTTGAAGGAACAACTCCAATATATTTTTTATGTGCGGCTGCATTTAGGTATTTGGGATACGGTATAGCCGTTGATGCAGCCGACGAGTACTTGAAAGCATCTGAAAGCACCGCAGTTGAGTGTGTAGATTGGCTTTGCGCATGTATGTATGAGGTTTTCACAAAAAATATTTGTGTAAACCTACTCCACGTGATATTGAGAGATTATATTTGGTTCATGAAGAGAGACATGGATTTTCGGGTATGCTATTATACGCATGTGGCTTGGAAAAAATGTCCAAATGTGTGGTGCAGTCAATTTATTCGATGTGATATAGGTGAGCCAACTATAATACTAGAAATTGTTGCATCTCAGGATTTGTGGATATGACATTCGTTTTGTGGAGTTGCGGGGTCTAACAACGACATTAATGTTCTTGGTCAGTCTCCTCTTTTCAACGATATTTGGACCGGCAAAACACCTGATATGCCGTTCATGGTGAACAGACATTCATACAAATACGATTACTTTGTGATAAGATATACCCTGATTATTCTACATTTATTATTAATGTAATGTTTCAATCTATGCTTTTTTTTTAATATTATTTTAAAGTTGTATTTTTATTGTATTTTTGAATTAAAAAAAAAAACAAAAATAATTTAAAGTGGAGTGGTAGTGATGGGTCTCCCACATGTTTAGTGGTAGTTAGTGGTGATGATATGACATCCACCACTATAATGGTTAGTGATGGGTATAACAGATGACCTAATAAAAAATCAGCTTAGGGTTCATTTTGATCATCTCTTTACCATTTAAAGACACAAAGCGATTTGATCTAACTTTGATTTTGGTCGGTTTTAAACCAATTTCAGTTTTCGTCATAATATTGATTTGAATCCAAATTCTAAAAGTAATAACGTTCCAATTTCAGTATTGGACTCTTTACCCATACATCAAATACAAAACACTAGATACAATACAATATACAAACATAAAGATAAAGATTTAGAATAGAATAGAGAATGCATGCATACTCGGTAAAAATATAAGGCAAACTATGTTATCTTGTACTCATATTATGAATATACACACTATCGGCTTTCAAGAAGAACCCCAATACCTACTACCAAACTGCAAAACAAGTCGACCAAAAAAAAAAAAAAAACACCATCACAACTAAAGCTCTATCTAATATTGCTCTTGCTTGTGGTTAACAAATCCTTGAAAAGCTTCCAATCAATATGACCACCATTTGTTTATGATTTTGGTTAATGCACAAATGCATGGGAAAATCGGGAAAATTCATTTACATATCGTCATGATCATGATATTCCTATAAATGTCAATGTGCTAAATCTTCATTTCCGATTCTTACGTTTGATTTATCGACCATTCGGACGTTATATTGTTCGTAAACTCTTGTTCGGTTTTCCGCCCACCATTGTTCCGCTTGCTTCTCGCTAAATCTCTTCCGGCTGGATTTAATCGATATTTTATATCAGTGTCTTTCGTTTATTTGTTTATTATAGCATTTTACTTTCGTTTCTTTCTGTTATAATATTGTACTATAGCAATGTTATCTAAATACAAAGCAAATTTCATTGCTATATAATTGAGAAAGATTTTTCAAAATAAAATGTCCTAATAAGAAAAATATGAAAGTACATTGCTCTAGTTGGTAGGATTTTTTAGAGTAAATTGTATTGATAAGAAAAAAAGATTGGTAGTATAATGTTGCAATAGAAAGAAATGAAATTAAGACGTTGCATTTAGCACATGGAAAACGACTTCATATAGAAACTCGGGGAAATACTTTTTAAACATCATTTATTTAGACATCACTTATGCATAGCGAAAAAGGAAACATGGACATTTAGGTCTGTATAGGAGTAATTAGGTTTATTTCGTGTCCTTGTATTAAAGCTTTTTGTGAAGATTAAGTGAAGAGTTAAATGCACATTTATGCAACATAGTGTGTTTTAGACGAAATATGCAATTATGTTTCATTATAGGACCAAAATATACAACCACTTTATTAAAAAATGTTTCACCTTTTTACCGTATTTTACAAATTTATGCAACCGACAAACCTGAATTATTTAACAGGTAAAATATTGCATCTTTTGGTCCTAACGCGAAACATGAATTGCATATTTTGCATAATAAGTAATAACCACATTATTGCATAAATTGGAAAAAGAAAATGTTTATTTTGTAAATAACTTCAGAAAACCGTTTAATTGTATATTTCATACCATAATGCTTCTTATTCATAAAACAATGTTTCACCTTTTTTACCAATTTAAGCATTTTACTAATTAAATATTGCATCTTTTGGAATTTTGTATATAAACCTTATAAAAAGGAAACGTTGTTGCATAAATGCGCATTTAACACGATTAATTTATAGAAAATAAGCCGCTTTAAAAGAAAAAAAAAAAAAAAAAAAGCATGCATACCTGAAGCGGACTCGTTTAAGATCTTTGACACCTCCAGGTAAGGATGTGAGAGTAATATAAACACCAGGTTCATCTTGCTCAACCCATTCCTCTTCACCCTGTCCCTGAGGCTGAGATTCACCATCTTTGCTTCTGCTACTGTTTCTAGTGGCGGCATCTGGCGGTTTGTGGCGGTTGTTGGTGGCAGTTGGTTTTATGTTTAACGGGCTGTTTGAACCGTTGGAATCTGGTTCTTTTGGTGGTGGTGGTGATGATGATATTTGACCGTTGGGCTGGTCAAGAGGAGGGGCATTTGGGGAAATGTCACTGGAAGCAAGATTGATGGATCCCAAGGAAGTGAAGGAAGGAGGAGATTTTATGTTTCGGGCAGCTCCCACGGGCAGCCTTTCTGCCATCTCTTTAAGCTGTTATTAGATATAAAAATATTAGTTATACAGTTTAAAACCATAAATAGTTAAACCTTATGATTAACTATTTAGGGACCTTAAGAAACCCATCTAAACGTGCTTTAAGAACAAAAAAAGTATTGGACCATATTAATAAATATTGACAAAGCACAGGGACAATTTTGTAATTTACTCTAAAGCATAATGATCTTACTTGGGCTGTAAGTGACTTAATCACTTCTTTTGCAGCTTTACATTTTGAGCTCTCTTCCCCTGCAATAGCTATTGCCTCCTTTAGCTGTTTAGATGTTCTTTCCAGCTCAATCTCTTGAAGTTGTGCTTTACGAGTAAGATTTTCCACCTGAGATTACCGATTTTGCAGTTAATAAAGATCCTCTTAAATTTTCTCCTGTAATAGCAATGTACTTACATTTCTTTACACATAATATAACAGCAACCTACTTTACACTTCCTTACCCATAATAACAACTTACTTACATTTAGGGTAAAGTGGCTTGATGGATAATGGATAAAGTCATTTATGCATTAAAAAAATAATCTTTTTTAAACAGTCTGAATGAGACTAAATGACCATTTCATCCTTACATTCCATTTTTTTCACAATATTAAGTTTTTAATGTTAGATGAGTTATAGTTTAAATGACCATTTTATCCTTACATTCCATCTGGACAACTACATAAAGCCATGTTTTTTAGCTTAACCCATCAAGTCATTCTATCCGGTTTAAATCAAGTAAAAAATGAAACAGCCATATATAGTGGTCCAGATTAAGCGCTTAACCTATCAAGCTCATTAAGTCAAAAAGAAACAACCCTTTATTTACTGATACTATCGATATGTAGCAAATAAAGTACATTGCTCATAGTTGTAGCTAAAACATAAGTGCATGGTGAGTAAAAAATATTAGTAAGTTTCTATTATGGGTATAAATAAAGTGCATTGATATTATTGGTTACAACACATACCTGTGCTCTTAGTTTCACAACTTCTTGGCTGATTCCATCGTTTGTTCTTTTAGCATCATCAATTACAATCTTTGGAGATGATAATCCACCCAAAGTCGGAATCGGAGTAGTGGAACGAGGAGGACTCTGGCGTCTAGAAATCGGAGATGTGGCCCGCGATACAATTCTTGAGCCGGGAACCGAAGCAGAAAAGAATTTTTTTGAAGATTCAAAAACCGGATTTAACGACTTTGGAATATTAAGTCCACCCCATTGAGAGCTTCCATTAGGTATAGGTGACACCCGGCTACTATTAAACTCAAGTTTCTTGTTACGTTTTGATGTCCGGTTTTCAAACGGTCTCAACGATTCCATCGATGAAAGTCGCGCAAGTCGAGGCCGGAAACTCGATTCCGACTTATCTTCTTTGTTGTTTCCCTCGTTCATATTCAAACCCTGATTCCCATTCCCGTTCCCGTTCCCGGTTCCGTTTCTAACGGATGATGACTGTGACGAGGAGTCAAAGTCGTTGACTTTTTTCAATTTATTAAAGCAATTATCGCATACGCGATAAGGTTTATTTGGGTTTAATGCCATGGAAGCTCGTAATGACTTTTTGCTGCTACAAGAATGGCAGTAAACGAGTCCGCAGTTGTAGCAATTGTGACGTTTTCTTTTGAAATTGAAGGGGAGGTGGCAGCCGGAGCACATGGACTGATCGGATCCTGAGACCCATTTATGAAGGCATACAGCAGCGGTGAAATTAGTCCCACAAGCTATGCTTTTTACTTGTTTGTCTTTTAGAGCTTCCACTAAAGTAGGGGCATTTCGGTCATCTATATCTCCATGGCCGAGTCGGCCATTAGCGCCCTTACCCCACGTGTAAACTTCGGTTCTCGAGGTTAAAACCGCAACGTGATATGCCCCACAAGATATCTCCTCGACAAAACTTTTTGAGAGTTTGCCGTCGACACGTGCCGGGAGTTTTCCGTCGGCCTGAGGATTCCCGAGTTGACCGTACACATGACTTCCCATTGTGTAGACGTGACCGGAGGTTGTTAGCGCCACCGTCATGCTATGCCCACATGAAACTTGGCAGAAATTGGGATCGACGAGTGCGGCGACGCAAGTGGGTACGAGTTTTGTTTCTTTATCGCCGTGACCTAGTCGACCTTTATCGCCGTCGCCCCATGTAAATAATTTCCCTGAAGAACTTGAATTCCCGACTATGACTTCCACGACGGCGGCGGTATGCCAGACACCGCAAGCGGCTCTAACGGTTCTAAGTCCTTTAAGAGATTCGACTTCCCGAGGCTTCGAGATGCTTTTCCGATCTCCATGGCCTAAAACACCGAACGTCCCGTCACCGAAAGTGAAAAGTTGGCCGGCGGAGGTCACGACGGCGGTATGCCATGGTCCGCAGGCGATGAAGGAGACGTGTATACCCTCTAGAGGGCCGTTTACTCGTCTTGGAACCCAATGATTCACTTCATTCCCATGTCCGAGTACCCCGAAATGTCCGTCGCCCCATGTGTATAGATCGCCGGAAAGTGTCACGGCACACGTGTGATACTCACCGCATGCCACGAGCTCGATGTTTGTGTTGCTAAGAGAATCGATAAGTTTTGGGTGCAAAACGTCGGAATCGACGCCATGTCCGAGTCTTCCGGTTGACTCTTCACCCCAGGAAAAGATCTCCCCTTGTTTCGATACTAACGCAGCATGTCGTCCACCACAAGCGATATTTTGAACATCGAGTACCACAGCAGATTCTAAAGGCTTCGGTAGTAAACAGTCGATTTTACCTCCGTTTGAATTCCGGCCACTGTCTCCGGCGATCTCGCCCCAGAGAAACACGTCTCCCAAGGCGTCCCCGTCATCGTGACCGGAGCCTTGACTTGATGAACTAACGGCGCTTGATAAGCTGACTCTAAACGCATCGATTCCCGTTGCCCTAGTGTGGCCATGGATGCTATCGGAACCTCGAGATGACAATGAATGGACAGAACCGGTGGCGGAATCTGAGAAGAAACCTTTGGGAGGAGGAATCTTGTAGAAGTTGACGTCTGGAATGTTTTTTGGAGGGCTTCCGAATGGAGACTGGAGGGGGATCTGATCAATTAAGTCCTGAATTGGCAAATATATAACATGAATTATAATTTTGTAATACATACACATCTACTTCGAAGTGAATGTAATGTTGTTGTTAATTGTTATGTACCTTTTGTGAGCTATCACCACTACCAAATGGGGAGTGTAAAGGCGAGCTTCTGCGTGTGTAGGTTCTGGGACTATTAGCTTCAGATGGGATTCCATCACTTCTTGATTCTGTTCTCCATTTTCTTTGATGGCCTCGTGATATTAATGCCTTAAGACCACTAAACCAAACCTCAGCTTCATCTTTATCCTTACAGATCTAAAAGATAAACAATCCAATCCATCCACCAAGCACAAAAAGATTAATACAAATCACAAACATATGAAAGTACATAGCTATTTCTTGCATTTATTCTATAAAAGAATCAAGAAATTGGATGAAAGTCTTACCAAATCCAGAGACCTATCGTTATATATTAGAGAAAATGATTGATACTCCTTCTCGGGTCGTGGGTACCTTTGAAAGATTGGCTAAACAAGAGAAAGACAAATAAGAAGCAAAATCACATACATGACAAATAAGGTTGAATGCCAAAAAATAGTAACATTGTTTCATTGATTTGTTTGTTATGACATCCTATTTTCAATTCTTCCTATTAATAAGACATGTTAAAAAAGTACAATGCTGTAACATGAAGTAGGATGTTATAATACACAAATTAATGGAGGTACATTGCTGTTTCTTGAATTCAGCCCTAACAAGTAAGACTAAAATTTTTGAAGATGAACATGAAAATGTATAGTTTAGAAGTGTTGTTTTCTGAAAAGGAAACAACTTACAGTTCGTTGCCCTGAAACAATTCTGGAGACATGACTAAGTTTAAGGATCTTTTCCTCTTTCCCAGAAAACCATATGAGAACAGATTCATCCTGAAACATCAGAGAAAATCCAGATTTATTTTGAGTAGTAAACTATTAAATACTTCATTTAATTTATATACTTCATTGCTATTTCATAAATAAACAACAAAAGATGGTGTCTAACTTACATTAGCCAGCCTGAAGGGACAAAACTTAGGTTTTCCTCTTCTGCCATATTTAAGAAGATAAGCCCCTTTCTTCAGAGCAGTAATGGCCTGTAGCAAACATGAGCCATTAAATGAATATAACAATAATGCACTTAGTTGACCAATTGCAATCCTCATATTTGGTATAAAAGTAACAAATCATGATCTTGTTACATTATCATACTCTAATTAGTCTAATTAAGATAAAGTTTTCCCACATAAAGAACGTGTCATGATATCACATTATCACATATGAACTTTTAATTCAACTTCTAAATTTACCTGAGATAAATCTATAATGTTGCAAGTGTTCACAGTATAGACTTATTTATAACACAAGCTTAACTAGTATGGAAATAAATAAAATGCTACTTATTAAGTTTAATAACAGTTCTACTGCGAAAGAAAGGACTATATTTTTGCGTGTTCATGAGCAAATTTTACACTCCCTCAATAAAAAACCACTACAAATCCTATCTGATACCTTCTAAAACATGTTCTGGTACTTTTCAAAAAGTAAGTCCATCTAAAATTTAGCATGACCAATAAAGGAAAATAGGATACTTGGTACAAGTAGAGTACTAAAAACATCATTGACAGTAATGAACTAATGATCCATAATTGTAGACATATTTAACCTAGGTTTTCAGTTACAGACCATGTGTTTGTATATATGTTTTCTTTTCCAGTTTCCACCATGGTTGACATTTAATCTTCAATGTTTACTACTATAACTAGATGTGCACTTAAATTGCTTACAGATTGCTATATCTTGAGTTATAAGTACCACCATCATTATATAGTGTAAGATGAAAAGACATGTAGTCTACACTAGGCATGGTAAACATTCCTTCTTTTGCATTAGATATATGGAACCAGAATCCACGAATTGCCAAAAATGCAACAGTCAAACTCTTATTATCTACACTTTCTTTCCAAACCTAATGAAAACAGGGACACTTCTCTAGTATTACACACATCTTTAAAAGCAACTTAGATTGATAGAGCATAATGCAACTCTAGAAACATCCATCTTAACAATGTTGCTGAAAAGGCAGTGTGCATTGATAGCAAAAATAGAAGGAAACCCTTCCCACAAACATAATGGAGGTCACCTCTGGCAGTGTCTACATTGGCTTGAATTAAATAGATAGATAAGAATAACAGTTAACTGACTTAACCATATCAACTTGTTGTAAAGCACAGGAAATGAAAAGGGGAAAAACACAAAGTTCACTAGAAAAAAGCACAAACCCACAAATTATCTGCTACATTTCAGAAACAAAGTCAAATCGTTACAAACAGAATAAACATTGTTATAGTTCTGATTTCAAACCTAGCGAATTCTTAGGTGATTATAAGCTGTATGTGTTTAGATACCAAAAACGCAAATTAGATACCAAGCCACTGCATCATGGTTATCTCTTGAAACATACACATATTAACTTCACACAAAGCCCTAGATACACAAATAGCAAGTGATCGATTTGATGTTTTTGATTTCGTCTCTGTTACTGCGGATGATTTGTGAACAATTATTCCAAACCCTACGAAACATGCAGAAAATTCTAAAATAATTACAACTAATTTACCTGTTCAATGTCCCTTTCAACTTGGCCACCTGTCCTACTAGCCTCTGAAGTCATCCTCGGAGTCTGCATCATCATCATCTGAGACTACGGAATCCCAAACCTAACTAAAGCTTCTACAATAACAATCAACCCCATCCTTGTCCTTAATTAAACGAAAATCATTCCCTCATTCATCAAATTCATCCCAACCCCTTTAATTTATTCACATAATACAAAACGCAACCAGCAGAGAAGATTGAAAATCAATTAATCGCAGTATCTAACAGAAGGTCTGCTGAAATCGAACGACTCTTGAGAGTTAATTTGCGATAGATTCGATCACAATGAGAGGGGAAAAGTTGCGTAATTTGAATGGCTTTGACGGCTGTAGCTTAGATCAGGCTGACGAATATGAAGTAAATGACTGGTTGATCTTGTAATCAGCTGTGCAGGAATGAGTTCAGACTGCAGGAAGAGAGAGAAGATATAGAGGCACCTTTAACTACAGGTGTTAGAGAGAGAGAGAGAGAGAGAGAGAGTTCGTTGGGGGTGCTAAAAAGGTTTGAGTAGAGTAGTATCTGAGTAAGAATCAAATTCCATCAAAATTATAAATCATAAAAAAAATATTGATTTTATGAATCATAAATAATATTTATTTTATATCCTTCTTTAAATTTAAATGTTTTTTTTTCTTTTTGACATCTAAATCTTTGTAAATGAGTTTTGATTTTTAAAATTTGAACGTTTGTTTCATGAGTCGGTGCGAATGTACAAAATAAAAAATAAGGTATGCAAGTCATTAAAACAAAAGTAGTTGTATGGCTAGTTAATATCTAAATTACAAAAGAAGATGTCCAAAAAAAAAAAAAAATCATGTGGGACCCGTATTTTACAGGACTTGTTTTTATACGGGATATTTTTATAATGTTTTTGGGTTTAAATACGGGACATGACTGGGATGAGAAGTTTCATCTCAAACTTCTTGGCCTTCAAAATAATTATCCTATATTTAACTATTTGATTTATAAAAATAAATTTTAAATTTAGAATAGTCATTGTGTAATATATGATTTGAATTTAAATAATAGTGCAATATATAAGTTTAAATGAAATAAACAAGTTAAAAAATAAAGTAAATAAGGGTTAATAGAGGATTTCGGACAAAATGTGGCTAATTGAGGATTTAGGGGAAATGGGGATGGTCTCGGAATTACAGGGAAAGATTAAGGGTGGAAAACGGGGGAATACAGATTGAAATTAGGGGAAACATACAAATTCCAAGGTGGAGTAAGAAGAGGCTACTTCCGTCATCATTTGGACCCGTTAACATCCCTAAAAACTATAATAAATAACAATAAATTTTATTTTTAAAATATAAATATTGCGATTAGTTTCATTTTCACAACCTATATTAAATTGTCGATTAAGTATTACGTTGTGATGGTTAAAAAAGATAATTATGTTTTTTTTTATTAAAAACAATTAATATGTTACACAAAATGGTGTTGTAAACATAAGAAATGAAGCTTAAGTTGAAAACGTTTATATTAAAAGATCTTAATGTCCATGATAATTACTATATATTCATCATAATAAAAAAAGATCAAAATTCTACATATACATTAAACAAAAAATTACACACCACAGCCCAAACATAAAAAAAATGAAAATATTAGGCATTTACCAAATCATACATTTTTAATCACAAAGTCATGCCAACACCTTTTCTCTTGCAATCTCAAGACCTTCATCAACCTTCTCCTTGACAATCCAAACTCCAAACTTTTCATGAATGTAATTTCTTGCTCCACACACTCTTGTAGTTGTAACATTTCGTTTCCAGATATTTTCAACTTCGGCTTACTATATATAAAGTTTGCATTTTTGGTCCTTATGCGGGGCGTACTCCATGGGTACGCCTAACATAACTCATTAAAAGGTGGCAGGACTCCTTTGAGTAGCATGACGTACGCAACAGGTACACAGGGCGTATTTATGCAGACCCTAAACCCTAATTTTTAGGGTTTGGAACTTATTTAAAGGACCTTAAGTCCTTGAGGCCTCCCTCAGCACCAGCCCCCACTATTCCAAAGCACCATTTCGAAACCCTAGCCACCTTGTGAGGTTCTTGAGCTTTTAGAATGATATTTTGTGTATTTTGTGAGCAAGGCGATCATTGGTGGAACTTTTGGGAGTCCATTGTTTGTAGACATAAATTTTGTTGTTCATCTAGCTTCTTCATAAGGTAAAAAGCTCCCACCTTGATGATTCATTTGCTAGATCTTGTTGGTTGGTGAATCCTTATGTGTTTTTGGTCTCATGGCTTTGGTTCTTGTGAGTATGAGCTACTCCATAACCCTTGAGCATTTTTTTAGTCATTTTCGAGGTTAATAAGTCATAAAAATCAGATCTTGAAGGTTGAATTCCACCCATAAATGAATTGTTGGTCATCATGTGAAGTTATTGTAACACCCGTTTCAATGTACTTTTCATTTTGACCCTTGGTGTGTAAATAGTTTGCAAATTTGGTCCCTAGGGGGCATTGTTGCCATTTTCGGAAAAGTGGGAGTACGTTGGGTGTACTTCTCGTATGTTGGGCGTACGCAACTAGGGGAAAAACCCTAAACTTTAGGATTTGGACCCTATTTAAGCAACATTATGACCCATGATCCCCTCATTTCTCGGTCTCCATTACCCTTTGAACCTCATTTCGAAACCCTAACCCCTCTAGAGAAGATTTGACCCTCGTTGTGTGTGTGTGTGTGTGTGTTGGTGAGATTTGAGGAAGAAGAGTTTTGAAGAATGAGCTTTAACGAAGGGAGCGCTTGTATATCCAAATTTTACTCATCGTTTCCAGCTTCATTGAGGTATAAAGTTTGGAACTTGCTCATTGTATGCATAGTTCTAGTATTATGGAGTTTTGTTCACTTTTTAGTCCCATGAATGAGATTTAGTGGGATCCTTCCACTCAAGAAGTTAGGAGTTGCTTCTCTTGATGTTTTTGAGATCTCTAGTCCATAAAGTTAGCATCTTGATGGTTGTGGATCAACCATGCATGTGTTTATGTCCATTTGGTGAAAGTTAATGACTTTATGAATACAACGTTCCCCAAGGCTTGGATTTGAAGTTTGGACGTCTGGTTGTAAGCATTAAGTGCTTAAGGGAGAACGTGCTTAATGCCCCGTGTACGCATTCGAGTCCCAGATCAGTCAAGCCAACTAGTACGCCGACCGTACTTGTGGTAGGCGCAGTATACCAGGCCTTGTCTTGGGCTTTGTGGTTTGGGCCATATTTGGACTATTAGGGTTTTGGGCCTTGTTGGGCCACTAGCCTTTCTGACTTTAGGCCATTGTTAGGCATTGGGCCTTCTTGGATTTGGGCCCATATTGGGCTTTGGGTAACCTTTAGGAATTGGGCCACTATTGGGCTTTTAGTGCCATTGAGTTTGGGCCTCAGATATTAGGCCAAATGAGGAAGGGTAAATTGGTTTTTTTACCCTAGGTGTTGGACCAATGAACTAGATTCCCAATTATGGTTTATGACCCAATTATTAATTGGGGTTTTATTTGGTTGGTTAGTGCGGGGATTCTCTGGTTCAGCACCCCGAGCATCTATTGACTGACAACAGACTGAGGTGAGTTTGCTCACTATACTGTAGGACACTAGGGATTGTATGTGCTTTTAGTCTTTGTGAGTCATGTTGTATGTGTTGTATGAATGTGTGCTTGTTTGCTATATTTATGTGGGGTGAAATAGACTCGGTACAGTCTTGTATTGACATATGAATTGAAATAGAATCAATGGTGAAATAGACCCAGTACGGCCTTGAGATGGCATATGAGTTGAAATAGAATCGGGGATGAAATAGACCCGACACAACCTTGAGCTGGCATATGAGTTGAAATAGACTCAGGGGTGAAATAGACCCGGCACAGCCTTGAGCTGGCATATATGTATGGTATGCGGTATTTTGGGGAACTCACTAAGCTTCATGCTTACGGTTTTCAATTTATGTTTCAGGTACTTCTAGATCGAAGGGGAAGAGCTCGGGATGATCGCGTCGCACACACCATGACTTTTCACTTATTTGACTCTGATGTGTTTTGGAAGATTATGAATACATTATGATTTCCCTTTGGTTTTACTAAACATGTTCGGTTGATGTTTTAATTAACATGAAAACAAAAAAAAAATTGGTTTTGAATTTTGGGACGTTACAAGTTGGTATCAAAGCCTTGGTTTGAGGGATTCGAGCATAGTCTCGGGTATGTCTGAACTCAAACTGAGGGTTTGTGCGGATTTTCATAAAAAGAAATGCTTTATAAAAAGGAGTTTTCTAATAAAATAAAGGGGTTTGGTGCATGTAATCGAACGAGCTCGAGTAAGTTTTCCTAAAATACCCATACATGTTTTGTGTAATGCTTTGAATTGAGAATTTGTGAATCGTATGCTATATTAGGGCTACGGATTTGCTCAGGATTTGCATGATAGAATTCTAGGAGAGATGCCTTTATATGCCTACTGTATGAGCCTGTGGACTTGCATGCTAGTACTGATCAGTCAGTGATAGGATGTCATGTTTAGATTATGCCCTGATTCCGATTAATCAATGCTCGAATGCTGCTTGCTTTGTGCTTTTAGGAGTTTTCATTAACATCAGCTAACTAGTAAGCGAATATGCTAAATTACATATTAATGAGAGTAGATAATTTTAGAAGGTTAGGTTTAAACCTATTACACATCTCTTGTTTGAGCCTAACCGTTGTAGTGTGATACCTTTCATTCGAAGAATTATCTGGTGTCGGTGGTATGCAATTGTATTCATAAGATAGTTAGAGGGTGCTAAGGGGAGTTCCTTCTGCAGCTGATGGCGGAGAGTGATGTGGTAGTAGCCCTAGGAAAACCTAGGAGGTGATTCAGTGCCGAGAGCCTTGCTTTGTTGAGGGTTGTTTGGATTGTTAGGGAAGTAACTTGGGGGGATTCGAAGTGATCCTTGAGGAAAGTACGGATAGATGTGGAAGGTAGTATGGGCCCGTACTATTGGAAGCAGAGGATCCGTACTCGAGTCAAAGAGTCATGAAGATAACATGAAGCTTGTATACTATGGGATTCTTCGAGTATGTTCTGATGGTTTATTTTCAGTATGGTGATCACTCGAGGAGGTTCTAGTGGCGGCACTGGTGCCGGAGATGGTTTGGGTTCGGGCTCTGGAGCCGAGTTTATGGATGATCAGATGCGGGAGTTTATTTCAGCAGAGATTACCCGCAATATTCTTGACCAGACACATGTGATATTTGGTACGGTCAAGGAGGGTATCTTGGAGATTCTGGATGAGTGCTTGGGCACTTTTGGATCTGAGATGGTGGCAATGATGGGAGCTCGCACTTTGAATTTCTGTGAGTTCCGGGCATGTAGAGCTCCGGAGTTCTTCGGGAATAAGGACCCGATTTCGAGCAGGCTTTGGTTAGCAGATGCCACGAACGCCTTCCAGACTAGCTGTTTCCCCGATTTCGGGGGCAAATGTCAGACTTGCTTCTTGTCTTCTGAAAAGACGTAGCTCAAG